CCCCAAAACCCCAAAACCCCAAAACCCCAATTTGGTTATAGATTATTGAATGGAAGAGCTAAAGCAGCCAATTATTCCTGCTAGCTTTAACCAAGCTAAAACTAAAGGGAAAACTATGAAGGAAAGATCAAAAGAGCATCGAGAGAGGAAGAAAGCCTACATCGCTAATTTGGAGACCAAAATAGTAGATTTAGAAACTCAGATTAGGGATTTAACCACTGAGAATGAACAGATTAAGGCACAGCTTGAGAAGAGTTCATCTGAGTGTAAGACTCAAGTGGTTGAGAAGAAGAGTGGGGTTGCTAAGAGTTCTGATACTTCTAAAAATAAGATAGAGAAGAGCTTCAAATCCTCCCTTCATGAATACGAAGATTTTGTGTATGATAAGTTGAACAAAAAGATGATGGAGAATCCTGACGAGGTCAGATATACCACTCTCGAACAAGCATATGAGCATATTGAGGATTATAGGTATAGATCCCCTCACTTATCTTTGCTGTTGATTATTTCCTCAATAATTCTTACAAATATAGCGATGACAGGTTCATCTACATTGATAGTCAATTTAGAAGTGATCTCTCAGCTAATTTTTAGACATTATAAATAACATTGTCGGGATAGAAACAAAAATCTACCAAGCTTGTTTGAAAAATCTCAAATTATCAGAAATAAAGAGAAGGATGAAAACTAAGAAGAGGCATTCTAAATATTTTGTCAAGAAGGAATTCAGACTTGACCAGATCATGTTTGATGAGGAATGGAGCAAACCTCTCATGGAAGTAATGGAGAAATATGGAGAGGAATTACAAAATTTTGGGAAAACTATTAAATCTTTAGTAAGACTTACTCACTAGGGGATTTAAATTATGATTTAGGTTAAGAAATTAGTCCAAGTACGAAACAAGCTATTTAATACCTACATTAGTATGGCAGAGATTGACGAAAAGATCTATGACACTGCTGATTACCATAAGCAAGATGTCAAGGGCTTGTTTGAAATCTACAATTTGATCAAAGATACAAAGTACATGACTCCGCATTATTTATGGGATATTCCTAAGAGACCTGATAGTGAGTTAGCATACAAGGACTTTGAGCTCTCATCTAGCGAAGATGATGAATAATCTCAATGAAATTTCAGTACCTAATTTGTATAATGGGGTTTTGGGGTTTTGGGGTTTTGGGGTTTTGGGG